ATATATATATATATATATATATATATATATATATATACAAAGAGGATATCAACTCCGTCCTTGATCGTGTGGTAGAACAAAGGCTTTCACGAATCGTAAAGCCATGTGAACCATAACTTCCCTGCACTCCGCTTCGTTCCTCCCTAATCTTACTGTGCCCTTCGCCTGCCCCTCGTTATACGATATACACACGTAAATTACCAACACCACCACCAATTGCTGCTGCTGCTGTTTGGAGAAGCGATGCAAGCCGCCGCTGCCGTTGTCTTCTCCGTCAAGCCCCGCTTCAGCAGCGCCTCTCCTTCGGTCCCCCGTTTGAGATCCCACAGGGGCCCGCCCGTCGCCGCCTCTGCTGCCCTTGGCACCACCACGACCACCACGGAGTCCATGGCCGCCAAATGGGCACAGAAGACCGTCGTCATCCCTCCCCATAGGCGCGGCTGCCATCTCATCACCTCCAAGGTGAGATACCCCTTCCTCGTCCTCTCTCGATTCTTGCAGTAGCATCATTGCATCGGGCTCGTCCTGACCTCGTTTGATTGAGCCAATTTAGTAAAAAGGGGTTTTTGATGGAAACCACATCAGAGAAAAAAGAAACAATTTTTAGTAATTACAAGTGCGTTGGTAGATCGCTGTAATGGAAATCGGAAGTATCGACTGACTTACATCTTCATCCCATTAAATTCGTCTGAGCGATCGATGCAGAAATATGCATCAATCACCCCGTCATGTTAATTGTGTGCCGTCGGTGTTCTATCAGATTTTGAGAGGGATAGAGCAGGATTTATCAGGATTTAAATGCGGCCTTGCTCATCTTTTCTGTAAGTAAAACTTTCGGTAGATTTGTCTCTCTATTTTTTTAGTAGCAGTTTGCTGGTGTTTCTCTTAACCAGAAGCTGGTCTGCACTCTACAGTGCAGCATACGAGTGCTTCTCTCACCATTAACGAGAACTACGACTCAGATGTACAGGATGACACCGAAACATTTCTTAACCGGATTGTACCGGAGGTGATGTATAAAATTGACTCCTCAAGTGATTCTTTCAAATCTGTCGCATTGTTGTCATGCATGTTGTGAATTGATGCTTTTATGATTGTTTTCAGGGACGTTCTGCACCTTGGAAGCACACACTGGAAGGTTAGGAATGCATGGAACACCCCCTTACCCTTCTAATTCTATCTCACCTACTGCTTGCTTGTTTCGATGATGGTTTCTCTTCAGGGATGCGCAATGCCCATTCTGAGGTGAAGCCTTTTTTATTCGATTTTGTTTGCTCAATCCTTCAAACACTTAGTAACCTGAAATTTCGTTTGCTGGTAATGAACTCATCAAGGCTATTAATGGAGAGTTACTTTTCACCACTCTTCAAGTACTGTTGATTAAACTATCGGGGGAATAATTACTGTGATAGTTGTCCATTGACAAAAGGCCTTATGACTAGTTGATAATATAGAGATCTCTATCTCTTCTTAAAGAAAAGCCATAGGGCCATTAATTGGGCCATATTATTTGTCTGTTTTAGGATGGCAAGAGGTGATTCTGCTGTTCTTCAAGGGAAGCAACCTTCAAGGTCATTGATCATTGATTGAACAATGTTTTCTCAGTTTTAGAGAAGCAGAGAGAATCTGTACTATTCCTTGAGTGATCTAGCACTTGGGAGAATTACCTGGGCAACATTTGCCTATTTTAATTGGTTTAGAATTTATGTAGATAACTTCTTTAGTGAAAGCAAACCTGATCTCTTGTCTTGGATCAAGGTCCTGTCGGACAAAGTCTGAAACCCATTCTTAAGTGATTCCAAGTAGGATCATGAGCCTTTACTACAATGGAAAATGGAAGTAAATGTATGTCCAAGTCAAGTAAAATGAAAGATGAGAACAAGGCCTGTCCAACTGAAGTAACTTTGTTATCTCATTCTTGGGTCAAGTATCATGCACAACATCATCTCTCACTCAAACAGGGCTCCCATATGAACAAATCTAACCAAATGATACTTCCAATCTAGCTAGTTTTGGATGGTCTGGTTTTTGGTGTAAGGTCAGTGCTAATGTTTATTGTTTGTGATCAAGGCATCACTCCAACTAGTGGGTTTTCTCCGGCAGTAAGAGATGGGGACTTTTTGATAGCTTGCTTAGCATCTAATAATTCTCGATTCATTTGACATTTTGCAGGACCTGATGATATGCCGGCACATATAAAATCATCTATGTTTGGTTGTGCCCTCACGTATGTTTTCAGTTCATTTTGTATTATGATTTCATCAATTTTCCAAAGTTGTATGCCGCTAAGACTGCTTCATCTACATCCAGGATTCCTATTACTGATGGTCGTTTAAATATGGGAACTTGGCAGGTGAGATACAGTTTCTAATATGTATTTCTTTTACTGTGGAGTTGCTACTTATCCTAGAAACTCATATTAGAGCCACATCATTACCAATTCGCTACTAAAGCACCAGTAAAGGATGCATCATGAATGATACATTCTGTATTGTGGATCATTGATACAGCATAGCACATGAGTGTATAGGCAAAACATGGAAGAGTTTGTCATTCTATGGTGCCTATGTCCGAAGCAGATAGTTATCGACTTTTTGATCAGTAGAGGACCTAATTCAACACTTCTTGTTCTTCTACAGGGAATATGGCTTTGTGAACATAGGGATCATGCAACTCCTCGCAAAATTGTTATTACTCTTAATGGGATGTAATTGGTAAAGGTTTGGGAATTATCTGGAATGTTCAAACTATATTGTCTACAGATGTTGCTAAAAGGAGTTCTCGATTTTGCAATTATGTAATATGTAGCAATACTTACAAGTCATGAAAGTGCATGTTGTTGTCTTCTTTATCTGTTCCTGGCAGAACCTAAATGAAGATTTGGGAACTAACTGTAATGTTTAAGTTCAAACAATATTGTTAGAAAGATGTTGGCTTATTTGCATATATCCATTTGCATAGTAGCCAGATGAGTTCACTTCCATTATTTTGAACAATTTATAGGAAAATCTTCAGTGTATTTGGGGGCAAAATTGCATACATCTTCATCCAAAACTAGTGAATTTTGTTTTCACTTACCTAAATTTACCTTCAGCACATTGCATATGCATAATTGTGGTTAATCTCTGTCCATTGACCAAACTCCTAATGACATTAATAACCTTTATGAATATTACATATATTCCTACTTATTATGTCTTGTCCCAATAAATTTAAGTTTTTGTTCATAGGCCTTTTTCCTATTTTAAATATTTTAATAACTTATTAGCAATCATAGAATACAACGAGATATATGGGGGATTTAAGTATTTGATGCTGCATTAATCAATAGCCACTATGGTCTGAAATTTAGTGGTCAATGCTTTATTAATCAACAACCATTATGATCACTATGGTACATAATGGATGCTAATGACAATGACATCCGAGGGATTTAAGTATTTGATGCTATATTAATCAACAACCATTATGATCACTATGGGCCTACAGCTAGTGGTGATTGGTGCAACAGCTATTATGTCCATTCTTGTTATTGGAACAAGAATTCTGGATGCCACATGATACAAGTTGTCATTGCCAAATTGCATACTTGTGTAAAAATTTTAACTAGAGCTTGTAGCTAAATGAGGGCAAGTGGGCAAACCACTCATTAACCCATCATATGCCACAGAGGAGCATTGTCATTGCTAATACATGCAGATGATAGATGAAGATGTGGAACAAATTATGAACTCAAAAGGAAGGGGGAAGACAAACTTGACAGGTTTTAACATACTATGAAACCAAAGCCATTGCTGTACTCCATAGAATGTAAAAGAGTCTGAATGCCCCTCCTTGGAATACAGGAGGGTAAACAATTTGATTCCAGGGTGAACTATATCTTGCTGGTCCATTAGAGAAAAAGAGTAATAAAAGAAGAGGACAGAGGGGGAAAAAAGAAATAGTCACCCCAAATGCTTTAAATTGTGATGAGCGATTGAGTTAGTACTCACTCCACCTTCAGCAATATCTTCATAATCTCATATACGAAGTAGCTAATGGAAGCAGATGGCAGAACCTGGGAAAACAATGAGAAGATTCTGAAAATAATACCTTATCACAGATTGATACGGAAAACAATGAGAAGATTCTGAAAATACACAGTACGAGTACCTGTAACAAGCTGGGAATCACGCCAGCATACAGTGCAGGGATGCCACCTTGCTCAACTATCTTCATAAATGTTGCCAAAGCATTCAATTTGTTTGCTCGAACCTGCATCTGCAATTGTCGCCTGACCACTTCAAAGGGATATGTGGCAGCTTCAGCACAAGCACCAGCGATGGCCCCATACAACAATGTCCTTGTGGATCCCAGCTCTAGTTGATCCAATGCATTCGCTTCTTCACCCTGTTGTGTCATTAAAGCCAACCTCTTCCTCCCTTCCGGTGAATGCAGATAAGCTGCCTTCATTATATCATAGACACCATAAAAAACTGCACCTGAAGGTGCCATGCTAATGAGAGATGGAACAAGTCCCTTATAAAGAGAAAAGAATCCTTCTGTTTGAACCATGTGCCGAAAAACACCTATAACACCACCAAAGGCTTCACCTCCAGGAGCTACAATCTTCGTTCGAATCTGAAAATTCAGAACTCAGATATCAGAAGTAGGCATCACGGAGAAAGCACTAAAAACCATCAGAGGAGAGGAATTAGATCTTATAAAGCACATCTCTTGTAACTTTCTCAGAAACTGAATAGTAAGTGATTTCTATCTCCAAAAGCTTGGTGCAATTACTCCCAGAAAACCAGAGCATATTGTGATACTTATTTTAAATTTAAGAAGAACTCAATGACATACTGTGTCCATTGGTATGCAAAGAATAGTTGCTGTAATGCCAGCTGCAGCACCAGCAACGAACCTCTCAAAGTTTGTGGTCTCTTCATTTCCAGATAATTCAAGTAGCTGCTTTCTATATGTGTCATATGCGTAGAAGTTAATTGCCTTAAAAGGAGCAGTACGAAGAATGTTGACCATGTTTCCTTTCCAGAAGCCCTTCAAACCTTGGGTGGCTGCAATTTTGTTAATGAGGGCAAATAGATTGCTCTGTTCACCACGAACCATATACTCCAATTTTAGCCTCTCAAGAGGAGCAACAAAAGTTCTGATACACCAGAAGTTCATTTTCAGGAGATGTTGTAACAAGCTGATGCTACTCAGAGATTAGCAAGCAAGATTAAGGGGGAAAAAATAGTTAAGCAAATTTAGATTGGCTTCTACTATTAGAGACTGAATATGTTGCTTGTTATTATGTTAAATCTCAAATCTTGAGATGATTCTAAACAAGTTGACATTCTAATAATCTTTTTATAAGAACATTTGAAACCTTCATGTAGGGTAAGAAAAGCTTATCAATTTTCACATAAATATAATCAAGAAATCACCAAATTCACAAAAATTCTCAACAAATTAGCAGAGGAAATGGGACAACAAGAAGCAAATTGACTTTCCTTGAACAGGCATCAATAAGATGTGAGGTTTGTGATATCCAAGTCAGGCAAGTGAATCCTACTAATGTATTTTTTGGCACAGTTTGTCAACAAAGTTTTCGTTGAACAAAACCTTCAGTTCTTTTTCATAAATACAACAAGAAGCTTTTAGTTGTCCATGCATTATTCCACTTTGTATGACATCTAATATCAGTCAAAGCATTCAGCGCAATATGAGCCTACTGTCATGTCTTGTATGGGACCTAACATTGGGTGCTACATCAATATTTTTGTACTAATCTTTCACAAATTCCACTTTGTTGATTGGCTCACTCATAAGTCGAATGAATTATCTAAACAGTTTTGATCGTATCTCCCAGTAGGTTGACTAGTTGTTAATCCTCGGTGAAGTCATAATCCTCTGGCCATGTTAGAAATGTGATAACACTATTTTCATGCAATGAAAAACACAATTCAAGGATCCTTATTTGAATACCCAACTTCCGAAAGACTAATTTCATCAACCAATAATGTAAAGAATCTCAGGGTGATCCAAGTCACTTAACGTTTTGAGATTTAAAAATTCAAATACTTCAAAGGAATTCATATACCACTTGGGGTAAACAAAACACATGTGGTTTTTAACTGAATCACACTATTGTTGGTTGAGAATTAAATATGATTAATTTGTTAGGAATTAAACTACAAAGGCTACAGATTATTTACCACCACTAAGTGTCAGCTACAGCTCTTTCCATAAGGAACATGTTTCTCATTTTGGCCTGTTAAAATATGCTATGTTACATTGTTTAGCTCAGTTATTCCTATAGAAAAAAAAGTCCAAACACAACAGAGACATATGGATAATCACCACAAATAAAAGAACATTTTTTAGGGATAAAAAAGGAGTAGCCTATGGAAGTCATACGATCCGTGAGCAATATCATTTTATTGAAGTATGAAGATGCATTCCCTCAAATCAATTGAAAAGAGGAATCAATAAAGATGATGCTCTTCGTTACCTCGAAACCATTGCAGCGACAGCTCCAGCCCAAAGATGCTTGGTGGTGTTCATCACACCGGTTCTTTCCTCCTGCAACCTACCATTCTTGTCCCTGTTCTTCTTCTCCTCCCCCAGAACCACCAACACTCCATCCTCCACGATCCCCTCCGATGCCACCGTCTCCAACCTCCTCTCATCCTCCCCCTCCAATGCCGGCGCCTCCGACCTCCTCTCCTCCACCTTCCCCAACAACTCCACCGACTCCCGCACGAGGCCTTCGCTCCCTTTCACCGACAAACTCACCGACACGAACCCATTCACCGCGGCAGCCCCTTCCCACCTGATTCCGCCGAAAGGGACCGCCTTTCCGCGGGAACACCGCGATCGAACCAGAGATTCGGAGGCATAGGGCTCGAGAAAGAGGCAGCCTCCGGCGGCGAAGAGAGGCGGCGGATCCGAGGCCTCGTCCGGGATGCAGATCCTGGGGAGTATGGAACCGCGGAAACGGACCTCCAGCTCGTGCATCGCCGCGAGACTGATACCACTGGATGTGAGAAACTACAAGAATGGGAGGCGTTTTCTAGGGTTAGAGTTAGCACTTGGAGAGAGGAGGAGCAGGCAATGAGAGAGAGAGAGAGAGAGAGAGAGAGAGAGAGATGGCGGACTGAGAAAGCATTGGTTGGGTCGGGGAGAGGCGTTATAAAAGGTGTGGGTAGGTGGGTGATTTGTTTTTGTTTTTTTGCTTTTTGCTTTTTGCTTTCCCTTTTTTATACTATATCTTCGGAGGTGAAACGACAACATTAAACCCCTGGATTTGCTTTTGCTTCTGCTTTCGTTCTTGTTTTTGTTTTCTATTATTTAATGTTTGTACATAGATATGATATAATATGATATATATTGGATTTATAGGAAAAAACATGTGATAAAGAGAAAAATTAAGATGAGTACAAGTAGAGGAAGATCCAAACTATGGATAGAACATAGTATCATGAGAGTATCATTCCCTGGGGAGCTTAAGATCCTCATTGTTGTTGTCACTTCTTGTGCTTTGATGTTTCAGAAGCATCAGTTGTTGTGTGATGAGAGATTAAGTTAGCATTTCTTTTGTTGGCTTATGTGAAAGGAAATAGTACAAGAAAACAGATGACTTGCATTAAGAGAATTGTCGAGCAGTGCTTGTCGTGAACAAGGATTAGCTAGAATGCATCATCCACAACTGCAGCAGCAGCAGCAGCAAACACGTCCTCCTCACCCACACTCCATTCACATCCCTCCTCCCATTCCATCCTCTTGCCAACCTTCCCCACCTTGGACACTCGAACCGCCATGTAGACCACCACCTCCGGCGGCGTGTCACCGACGTGCGCGCCGCCAGCCATGACGAGACTGACATGTCTGTGCACCGACGTTTCAGTCGGTCCACAGATGTCTCGCCATGGAACCTCGGCTGTGCCCAGGAGCTCGGAGCACGAGGCTGCCTCAGCCGCTTGCCTCCGATCGCTTCTGCGTCCTCGTAGCTCGAACACGATGCCGTGCCGCTCGAGGAGGTCACGCACGTGGCGGGAGGACCCACTGCACTCCACCGAAGCCATCCTATCCCATGTCGGATCGCCGGTTGGTGGCACGTCGCAGGAGTCGATCATGATCCTCCGCCCACCACCGGCATTTACGTAGCATCTTATGAAGAGGTTTCCGACGAAGTCAGGGCTGTTGAGTTTGGTCAATTTGATGTTGGTTAGTTCACATTTAAGGTGCAGACGTTCGTAGGATCGAGACATAGCTGAAACAGGAGAAGAGAGAGAGAGAGAGAGAGAGGAATTAATGGAGGATGGAGATGACTGACTGTAACAGGGGTGCTTAAATAAGGTGTGCTTTTGGTGGTTTTTCTAATGGCTCTCAAGTTCCTATGGGCTGAAGCAGCAGAATGGAAGAGAGAGAGGAATTAATGGAGGACGGAGATGACTGACTGTAAAAGGAATGCTTAAATAGTATGTAAGCAAGCCATTTTGCCTTCTTAGAATGTGTAAAAGGTGTGCTTTTGGTGGTTCTTCTAATGGCTTTTGAGTTCCTATGGGCTGTGGATGGGTGGAAAGACTGATGCCTAAATAGTCTTCTGCCAACTTCAAAGGCCAAGTGACTCTTGATCCTGAGGAGGTGCCTTCATTTCTCCAAGTTTTGTGATTGCACCTCTTGTATCAGTGACCTTGTTCTTGTCCAACCCAGGATCATCATCTTCAAAAGTTTGGGTTTTTTGTTTCTTTATAGAGGTGTTTTGATTGGGTTTGAAGAGTCAAATTGCTCCAGTAATTACAGGCATGGTATTTTGATTTCTCCTGATTGGAATTGTTGATCTTTACATCTCAGATCTGAATCCAGAGTTCAACAATTCTGCTAGTCGATACATAGAAAACATTAATGAAACAATTTCTTGGAATTTTATGTAATTGTCTGTCTCAATCATGGAATACTATTCATATAAGTTTCATGTGATTTTTCTGTTGTGCAGCAACTCAATCATCCACTTTGACATCTTTAGAACAGAGATGAGAACATTCTTCCTTCACTGGTAAAGAATCTCTGAGTTGATCCAAGATGAGGAAGAGACTTTTAAGGTCCTGTTTCCCTAAGAAAGAAAGTATTCAGATATTACTTGGATTCAGCATGATTTCATGAACTCCAAGGAGTCTTAGGTGGACTCCATTCACAAGCTTACATGTCTTCTAATTCTCTAAAACAATAAGCATGCGAGTGTCTGCATCATTATCCACCATAAAAAAAAATGTGAAGGTGTAATATAATCCTCAGAACTTTTGGCAATGGTGACTACCTGCTCATCATCATATTAAATGTCAAGATATCGATAAGATTTACATCATAGAAAGCTTAAATGGACCAGAGATTAATTATGATCTTTTTTTTTGGATGTCAATCTAAGAACAGAAGCTAATTATAAGGCTTCATCTGAGTTCTTAAATAGAGGAAAAAATTGTTCCAGTTGGTAGAATACCAAGAATTGAATTAGATTTTTCTCTGTTAGATAAGAACTTTGTTATTTCTGTCATGAGTCAACATCTGATATAAAGTCTAAAGTGCTAAAATGTCAAACCTCTCTGACTTTGGCAATCCCATTTCTGTTTTGTGCCACATAAAGCTAATTTACAAATGAAAACTGTTATCAGCACATCAAGAAAAATAAATTCTATCCATTCATATGGTGGCACAGTGAATAGCACTAACAAATGGCAAAACAAGTGACTGATATTAGTCTATTCATGCAAGTTTGTGAGATCTGTTGCACAAAACATTGGTAGCAAGTCAAAGGTTTCCACTGATGCATTTCACTTTACTCATATTACTTATCTGTTGTCAGCCAAGTGGAAAGAAGAATTATTTATACACTATAAAAGGGCTAATAATGTCTGATCGACAGCAACATCCACCTCCAGAGTGAAAACAATTTTATAGATTCAATGCATGTCACTGCAACCCAGTAATTTAATTCATCAGCATATAAAATTTGCAGTGGACAACATGAACAAGTCCTCAACCCCACCTCAATAATTCAAGCTATCCACAACATTCACCTGCTCCCTGACTCCACTTCCTTCACCTCTTATCTATGGTATAATGCTTTCATAATGCTACAGCTATCATTCTCATTCTTATTCATCCAACATTTCTTGAGGGAGACCGAAGACAGCTTCAGGTTCATTTCATCAGATTCAAAAAAATGAGGTAGTACACAATCAGCGGCAACTCCTTTGTATAAGCTCTTTCTGGTTACTGCTCCTTTTATTTTAGATGAAACATAAGCTCTTGTAGTTACCTCTTCAGTTCATCCGAGAATGAACCTTTACACATAAATCCTTCTCTCTGTTCTGTGTTCCAGAACCTGAAACACTAAGTGACCCTCTCCACGAAAACTCACATGATATGTGCTAATTGTAGGTGGCATGTCTACCTTATGAATCTTCCCTTGCCTTTGAAGTACAAGTCATCACAGCTTCTCCAACCGAGAGGAATATCTTGTCATGGCCTATGAGCTCTGTGAACTTGGCTAAATGGAGCTTCTGAATCACCACTGGGCCGGGATTTGCAAGAACAAGCTGAAGAATAGATGTAAATACTTGTAAGCTTCACTGATCTTCCATTTTCTTTTGAAACAACAGTGTTATCAATGCTACTTCGGCTGTTGTATAAGGTACTAACCTGGATTTCATGTTTTTGGAGGCTCCTATACAGTTCTTCAAAGGCATGGATGCCACTTGTGTCGATGTCTGTCACAGCTGCACATACAATCAGGCAGCGAAAAGATCGATGTCGTAAATATCAGATCAAGATTGTACAATAAGAATGAGAAATAAATGTAAGGGGCTCCTCACGCGACATTTCGACTATCAAGAAATTTATTTGGGGTAGATTTTCTGCTCTCAGTTGCTCTTCTTCATCTCTTAACCATCTCAGGATCCTGCAATAGGTGAACAACCATTGCAATGATAGATTCTAGTAATCCAGTTTTAAAGTAAAAAGTAAACACACAAATTTTAAGAATCAAAGAAAATTGGCCTGGTGATGTTCCTGAGTTCAGTCAATGTGTTCCTGAGATTTATGTACTGAACTCATTAGAATGACTTCTAGTGAGTTTAGTAAAAGTCCTGACATTTATTCACTTTGCTGTTGGGTCCTAATGTACAGTTAAACTATGTCCAACTGAGATCTGTGGGTTCTTCATGCTATTCTAGCTTAAAGATGTGCTACCAATCTGAATTAGCAACTATAATTAGTAACATCTGAGTTATAAAGATTTACCTCTCCTTGACATAGTTAGAGTTTGTGAAGTAGATAGCAGAGTCAACTCTAACTATCAAAACTCCCGGAACCTTGGTTGCCTCTGGGTATTGTACGATGTTTCGGTATACCATTGTCGAAGGAAGATTCCCGAGTAAAGCTGTTCTTGGCCTTGTTACTTGCAGAAGGACCTTCGCAAGCGATATAGAAACCTATTTGTGCAGGAGAGAAAAAGAAATCCATGGCAATTGATATCAGCAAACACAAAAAGGAACCTTTCAGCAGTTCGAAAAGAGGGAAACAAGCAATCGAGGTTCTTACAGCAATCAAGAGGCCAATTTCAACATCTACAAAAACTACACCAAAAAAGGCTCCCATACATGCAATAAAGTCGAGCTTGTCAACCTTCCAGATAAGAAATGCTGCTTCATAATCGATAAGACTGATCACAGCTGAAATAATGATCGAGGAGAGTATCGCGTTCGGGGTGTACTTGAAGAGGGGTGTGATCACTAGCAAGGTAAGCATCACTACCATGGACATGACAATATTGGACACAGATGTTTGACAGCCAGCCATGAAATTGACAGCCGAACGTGAAAAGGAACCTGCAACCAAATACATGTTTTCGAGTATTTAATGTTCATGGTGATTCTCTAATTCAGAAATAACTCCTTCAAGCATTGATCTTATATGTTTACCTGTTGCTACATAGCAAGATGTCATTGAACCAACTATGTTCATGGTTCCTATAGCAACCATTTCCTTGTTTCCATCCAATTGATATTCCTTCATGGAAGCAAATGTTCTTCCAATTGCTATTGCTTCCTACAGATTTACCCTATTTGTTACAAGTAGTTCAAAAATAGATTTCTTCGAGAAAGATGGACTTGAGTTTAGAGGTTAAGTACTGTCAGAGCTATCAATCCAGCAACCACTCCAATTCTGAATCCTTTTGCGGCATAAGAACCACTGAAGTGAATCTGACTAACAGATGATGGGTTGAGTCCCCTATCTATCTTTCTCACCTTTCATAGATCAATAACAGAACCAGTTTTGGTCATCATATTTAATAAAAGTTTAGTTTTAATTCAAACAGATAACTGATTGCTGAGAACTTACAATCTGGACATCATGCTTATCAGCCCGGGTGACGTACACGAAAAATGTGGATAGGATAACTGATATAAGTGGCGCAATTGCAGGAACCCAGAAAAATTTCCTATTTTTCTTTCCCTGTAGAATTTGAACAGTATCACTGGAAGAGGTAAATTAAATATACAAGTCTTGTTCTTGAAAGCTTCTTCAAATGAGAATTAAGCACATACAATGTACTTTGCAGAAAGAAGAAATGCCAAAAACATTGTCCCTATCAATATCGTCTCCCAGTTCCACTGCAAAATTAACAAAATCGAGTAAGATTCAGCAAAGAAGCCCCATCCTAAGACATAATAAACTGAGTTAGTAGCTTTACCCCATGATGGACTGAACCCCAAACAGATTTCATAACTGAAATGATATCTGTGTTCTTGGTAAACTTCCTGATTCCAAGAAATCCTTTTAGCTGCTGGAGAGCAATTGTAATGGCAGCCCCTCCCATAAACCCAACAATTGCAGCATGAGAGAGGAATTCGATGAGAAAGCCTAATCTGTGATATCAGATAATATAAAGTTACATTTCCATATCTAAAACACCAATTACAATAACTATAAGGAGCATTTACCTCAGAAATCCGAGTGCTGCTTGAGTGACACCGGCGAAGAAAGTTGCTGTAAATGCAAGCCGCCGGTAATCCTCCTTATTTTTCTCAGGATCTACTTCATTCTGAAGAAGGGTTCCAAGCAAGAGAGACACAACTGCAACTGGTCCAATAGCAATGTCCCTTGAGCTACCCATCACTGCATAAATTAGTGGTGGAACAAAACTGGAATCTGCAAAAGAGAAAAAGCAACAATTGCTCATAACAAAGAACATAAAACTTTAATTCTGATTATCCAAAGCAGTATAACTGAACTCACATAGCCCATATTTTGCATCCATGTTGGCAAGCTTAGCATATCCTATGTCCTGGTTTAGAAAATATCAGGTTTCAGTAATTTAGTCTAACATAGGAACGAATTCATTTAATTGTGCTATTAGGGATGAATACCTGAGGGATACAAAGACTAGCAATTGTCAATCCAGCAATAACATCTCCTTTGAACTTACTAAGATTGTAGCTTCTTCCCCACTCAAGGACTGGAAACAAGAACCGAAGGCCCAGCACCAGCTGTCTTGATCTAGGCTGGTCCTTGTAAGGCCGTAGAGGATCATCTGAGAAGAATGTTTCCTTTAACGTTTCAGAGAATTCTCCGATGAAGTTCCTCCGAGGTGGCAGTCCCACCTTGTGCACAGATTTGTGATTTTCGGTCTGCCTGTGGGAGGAAGAATGATTGGCCATCTCAATATCCTTGCTCTCAACTTCATCAGAGACAGAGTGCGCCATCATTGGCTTGTTTAACTAAAGAAGCAGGATTGCTGGATTTGGGGGGCAGCAACTTTTAGCCTGCAAAAGTAAGGACTTCTTAGAAATCAACGTAGTAGTTGTTGAAATTTCAGCAGTTAGCACAGAAAGAATCAAGACAGACACTACAGGTTGAATCACTTTTATCAGTTGCTGTCCAAGCAAACAAGCCAAAATGTATCAATCCAACATGTTCAACTAGCAAAAGACATGAAGACAAATATGTGCCAATGACCAGACCTAGAAGAAAGATACAAAAATGTAACTTAAAACATTTATTCCTAACTTTTTCTTTCCCTCTGGAAGATAGTATACATCAGCATGAACATAATAAATATAAACAGATCAGAGACTGGGATCAAAGAAGCTAACACAGCATCTACAATTGGCAAAAGACCAAGGACTTAATTCTCATGAGAACTAGTTGATGTCCAATTGTCCATATATAGGACTGAGCAAGATATCCTGGTATAAAGTATAAACCACATTCAAGATAGTGAAATAACATTAGTAAGAGATTATTTTCTCATGAACAGTTAATTCCTCCTTGAAAGCATCCAATACTAGTCCTGGTCAAACTACTCATCCAAGTCAGTTAATCTACATCATACATACATATAGATCAAGATATTGGGTGGCATTATACTTCTTTAGGGTTATCATGATTGAAACATGATTCATGTTATAACAATATATAAGAGATCTGCAGAGGGGTCTTCAAAAATTTCTTTGCCAGGCACTTCTGAAGGTTCATATGATATCTTCAGAAAGAAGTCCACTAAATAAATCTAATAATGTGGGCAAATCTTGGGAGAACAAACTAGAATTGTGTCACTTTCAGAAGTCAGATGTAGTACAAAAGGACAAGGAAGGCTGAGGAGGTGTTTGAATTATGCATCTCAATGCTTCAAAACATTTTCAGTCAATGGAGCATGTCATTGGTTAGAAAAAAAAATTACAGCATAGTTGCATTAAAAGCTTCAATAGATATACTCTGTAACCCATTTAACAGGGATCAAGGAATGATGCACAAGGAACAGAAGAAACCACCACCATGGAATAAGTCCAGAATGAACTTCAACTAGAGCAGAACACAAATCATGCACCAGAAGAAGTACAAGCCTGTTTTAGGTCAGAACAGCATACAAATGCTACTTCAGAGACCAAGTATCAGAAACCACTAAAAGAATCCACAAGCCAAAGCTCCCTTGATTCCCTTTCATCTTGGAAGTGGACCTTTTAGCATTCACATATGCTATGAAAAAAGTAACTAAATGGGAACACAAGAAAGAAACCAAAAAGAAGATTGAATGACAAAAAGAAAACACCTTTCCAAACAGGAGCCACTGCTGAAGGCCCCCAAACAACTTCTCTCCACCACCCAATGTTGCTTTTTTCTCCTCTTTTCTTCCTTGGTTTCATCCTCAGATCCTCCAGTATCCCCAAGATTCCCATAAAGAGTGAGGAGAGGATTCACCCCTACAATAATCATCATATCTAAGATGTATGTAAAGGGTCTTTCGAAGACCCTAACTGAGTCAACCCAGTTGTTTCTTTTTTCCTCTCTTATTGGTTGCTAGCAGCCTACCATCTTATACCTCCTCAACTAGTGGCAATGAGTGATCAGGAACATCACACAGAACTTAGAAAGAGGAAGAAGAGTCCAAACCTGTCCACATTCATTGCATTTTGACAGCAGGCCTCAATGATGGATCTGAACAGGATCCAACAGCAATCTTCTTGCTTGTTTATTGTTTGGTGTTTACTGATTTGCGCAGCTTGAGAAGATGCCTTCCATACATAGAAGGGTGCAGCTTCATCAGTGCAATTAAATACTTTTGTTTCTTTGATGTTGACTTTCACTGATCATAATTCCTGTGCAGAGAGGGCCCCCTGGGACACATTTTATTATGAAATGGTCCTCTTTTGGATTTGAAGGATATCAATTCAAGGATGCCAATTTGCTCATATGATCATGTGAGCAACCTATTGTCAATCTATGTCCATAAAGTCAGGTTGATAGGCAAAAAGAACAAAAACTTTTGACTATAACACTTATGGCTGAAACTTCAAAGAAACTGCCCACTAGACTTCATCACTAAGAAGGTTTTGGCACAGCTTGTAGACTTTTCAACTAATGAAACAATAACATCAATAGACTGAACAAATGGCTCTATGTGAAACAAGAGACTTTGAAGAACTTGGGCAATAAATGGGGCTGTCTGTCATACTAGTAGTTGCTTTCAGGGATGACCTTGCAAAGTCAGCAATGCCTTTCAACCAAACCCTCAGGGCTTCAATGTTAGACCAATGAAAGTGGATGCAAAACTTCACCTGCTCAGGCATCCAATTCAGATTGCTCATAATTAGCAGTGATTGAACCATGGAATCTCTCTAAGTAAAGATCATATTTATTGGACTAATATATATCAACTGGTATTTACCAGTTCAATCAAGCAGTGATATTAGAATATATAGTTCAATATCCAGAGATATTATTTTTATTATTTTAGTTAATGATGTATCAACATACACTTTGATATAACAGTTTCATGCCAACTTCATCGAAAACTATAATTAGCATCAAATCAAAATTTAAAGCCTTGATTATTGTAACAATCATAATTTAACTTTTATGAGGATCCCATTAAAAGATGATCAATAACTCATTATCCTTCATTATTTTGTATAATTATTATTCTACTTTAATAATATCTATTATAAGGATTAAAAAGTATATTTCTCAACAATGGCATGCTTGGAAATTAGTA